ACTTCTCATTTTATTCATTTAACCAAATGAAATATAATGCTATTTACAAGTATTGAACTTAATGCATATTTAAGGGTTCATTATAATTATCAATAATAGAGGTTTCGATAGAACTACATTTTAAAAGTAACTGTTATGATAAATAGATATTGCTTTTATCACTATTAATTTGAAGTTCACCATCTCTGCTTAATCCCTCAAATTTCAATCATACAATATTATATTACGTTAAGCAATTATTATTATAATGGGTTTATACTAAACATTTCAATTTCAATCGCAACAATTAAATTCATATTATTTCGTATATATCTAATATTAGGTGATTTGTTAGCTCATTTAGATTAGTATTCAATAAATAGTTGTGTTATTTGATAGTGTCAGTTACAAATAAGCTAATATGATATTAAAATGAATAATAAATTGATCAATTAACCTTAAACTTAAAAATTCAAAGATAGCATTAGAATATGATTCAATTTATTTATTTTAATTAATACTAATTCTAAAAAATTCTTATAATATAGATTTTAATATATCAATTACCATTTTTTTTTTTCCTTCCTGATTTTTATTGGGTTTTTATAGTATAAATTAGTATGAAAATAAAACAAGATATTTATATGATTAAAAAACTATGTGTAAATTTCTAATTAAATTATATGTATTTACAATGAAACTACATCATTTGATATCTCGTTTTGAGCGAATAATTGAAAAGTTTATTCAATTTAATTATAATTTTACAATTCTAATTCATATCCAATTGTTCCTATAGATATGTTAAAAAATTCAATGAAACGAAAATAAAGTGAGTAGTATAAAAGAATTAAAGTTTTGAAGTACTATGCATTTTTAAATGAAGTCTTTTTCACTGAAAAAGAGTATATATTGAATCTTTTTATTTACATTGAAATTATAGATTAATGAAAATAATCATAGAATATCCTATCTTCTAGGAGATCATAAAATTAAGTCAAAATGGTTTCAATTTCTTTTTAAATTAAAAGCTAATCATCAATATGTTAAATAATAATATTTTCACTCCAATGTGAATTTAAGTTCATTGAATTTCTAACTTGCTTTTACTTATCTATTTATTTCTAAAAATAATGTAGTTTATAATATAATTTTGAAGTTTCATCATTACATTTTAAAAGTTCTTGCTTAAATTGATAAAGCATTGATTTAAGATTGAAATTCTTAATTCAGATTCAGCCAATTCTTTTAATTTCATTGAAAAATTTGATGATAAGGTATTTTAATGAAGTGATTATGTCTCAAATTCAACAAGGATATTTTTTAATAATAAGTACATCCATACTTTATCAAAAGAAAATAATAGTCGATATAAATCGCATTGAAAAAAGGAATTGTCAGTTGCAATAATATCATATAAAGATACCATCTACACACTATATTAAAAAATTGCTATATAGAACAAATTATTTTTTTTAATAAATAAAGCTATGCTATCAGCGTCTATTGTGTACTTAAATGGATAATAAAATTAATAGTCCTAAAAATGTGTAATTGTAAATTTAATGTAAAGGTGATTAAACTTATTAATTTACATTTCATAATCCTCGAAATAATGTATTATTAAAGATCATGTTTAGATTTGTAATGCAACAATTATGTAACAGGCAGAATGATGTACTATCTCTTGAATTGAAATAATTAATTATTTTTGAATATCGTAACATCTAAAAATTTCTTAACTTTAAATAGCTAAGATCTGTGGATATTGAATAAAAATAATGTTTTCAAAATCAAAATAAAATAGAATAGGTTCAGGTTAATAAAGGTTTTTTGATAAGTAATTGCTTCTTGAATAAGGCAAATAATTCATTTATATAATAAGCGGTAAATCTGAATTTTCACTTAAAGAAATATATATTAAGAAATTTGCTTAAAGCTTGTAATTACTTCATTTAAATAGATATTGAAATGCGAAATTGAGAATGGTAAAAAGTTAACTCCTCTCAAAACACTATTATTATTTCTGTTCATAAAATAATAGACTG